TATAAATAACATTTCCTCAAACTCTGAATGTGTATGCCTCAAATACACCTCAAACTACTTATGTGCAAGTAATTACAGTCTTGATTACTCTATCAAACATGGTTTTATTCTAGTAGTCCCATCTTAATGAAATTAATTATCAAACAGGTACACAAATCAAAACCTCGGTAAGACTTTTAACACTTTTAACATTTATCTTTTATTAAATCTCTATTACCATTTAATCACCAAAACAATTATTGTTTCCTAAGTATCTCTTACATCTCTGTACTTCTTTCTCTCTGTACTATCAACAACCTAATCCAAAGTACCAATATCACTCCTATATTGTTGTAAAAAGTTTTTGTAATTATTCCAACTACAGCGTTGCCCTGTGTAATCTGAAAAACGTATTGGATGGGAAGTTCTTAGTCCTCAAATCTAGAAAGATAGCATAAAAAATCCTTATTAGTTTCTAAGAAATGCCAGTTACTTAAATAAAAAACAACAGAAATATCTACACACATCCACATCTGTTTGATTGGGTAAGAGACTTGAGAAGTGGTAGAGGAAATAAGGTGAATGAAGTCCTATTTCCATCTTGCTACATCTTCTGCTTGGTATCTGACCTTTCAAAACAGGAGTATCCAGTCTGAGTTTTCTCTTTCAGTCTTTTCCAGATTATTTTAGGGTCATCTGAAAGCCTGGGAAGACCCTGATGTGCTTCTCCAACATGGGTGAGAAAGTCTGTGGTATGAATATGTTCATCTACTTTCTCTTGGAGGAGAACTGACTCCAGTAAAGTCTTCTTTTGCTTTAGGAAGGCAGACTGAGCCAGCTCTGCTTTTTTCCTAATACAGTTGGGACACTGTGAAGTAATGTGTTGCTTTGCTGATGCCACCTGTTTTAGTGTTGTCCTCACGTTTTCAAAATACATTCTGTTTAAAAGTTCATCAGGAACAGTACATGTTAAGGCATTGATTTCTGAAGGCTCTAGATCGCATCTAAACTGCAGCTTTTTGTGTCTGTTGCTCTTCTTTTTAGAGTCTACTCTTTGATGGATCAAGTTTATCTTAGTGGTGCAAAAAGACTGCAGGGCATTCAATTCCTCGTCGGACAGTCCATTGATTTCTGTTTGAAGTTTAGTCTCTGGTTGGTTTTGTTCATAGTTAGTTTTTTTGTCCTTGAGATAGTGGATCCATTTTTGAGTCAACTTCTTTTCGTCATTTTTGAAATCAGAAAGCTCGGATTGCTTGGTTTGTTCTTGCAAGCTTGCAG